GGTTCGAGCCCCACGGTGGGTGTAGTTTATCAAATGAACTTTATGTTCACGGCCCATTAGCGCAGGGGGCAAAATTGTCAATTTGAATATTATAGCATTCTGCTCCGGTGAGATGACCTAAGGTCATGACCGAAGGAAATTGACTCATGTGAGTCTTCAAGGAGAACAACTTGAGGAGTTGATGAAATATGTTGTTGCTCCGCTAGCTCAGTAGGCAGAGCGTGTGGCTGTTAACCACAAGGTCGGTGGTTCGAACCCATCGTGGAGCGCTTGATGAGATCACTTTTTGAATTCGAACACGTGTAGACGACTAATTCTCGCATTCACCGCGCTATACATGTAGCAAAGACGCACCAGTGGTGACTAAAATGAAATTCAAATGCTTTCGGGAAGCAGAGGATATCTCGGTGACATGCAAGGTTGACCGGCAATAGCTCAGTTGGTAGAGCGTCCGACTGTAGTGATAAAGTAATCGGATGGTCCCTGGTTCGATTCCGGGTTGCCGGAAGTATTTTATTTGATATTCCGGTTACCACGCGCTTACCACGCGCTTGGCGCGTGGTTCCCAGTCCTTCCTGCCTTCTTGCAATTCTCCTGTTTGCCCTTTCCGGGTTCCTTTCTCTCTCGTTCACGGACTAAACTCGACATTTCCTTTGGTTTATACTTCTACTACGTTGAAGGGTTCAAAGACGTCAAGAAAAAGTCTAATGGTAAAGTCCATCTCATCATCAACGTCTTCTGCGCTTTGCATTATATCGCTCGTAGCGAGCTAATTCTGCAGCTTTTCTCTCTGCTTCATACTCCTCCTTGACGATCGTAGGGTCCGCGTGCGGACAGTACAGGATCTGGTTGTGCTTCACAATATGCTCTCCACCACGACTTAAGTTGCATAGAGCGCACCTTCTCTCGCCCTTCGGCAGCTGCTGTGGTACCTCTAGCCCAAGCCTTGCTACCTCCAACTCAGCCCTCCTCCGACGTTCTCTTGCTAATCGTGCGGCGGCTCGGTCCTCCGACAGTGGAGATTCTTGTCGCTTCAGCTTGCGCCTTGGAGATCTTTGTCGACGAAGCTTCTCATTCTCTGCTTGGTCTGATACGAGCTGCATGGGATATATGGATGGAGCTGGCGGAAGATCTCCAGGTGCATCCTCGGTCCCACTTGTTGTTGGAGGGAACAGGGTCAACGAGGTTGGTACTTCAAGAACGCTCTCCAAGTCTCTAGCGATGTCTACGCCTTCTTGAGTGAAAGTACCGGTTGTCGCTGATTGATGGCACTTCGCCTGCATCTCCTTCATCCACTTTAAGGCACCTGCATAGGATACGGGGAGGAGGGGTTCCCATCCGGGTCGATCTTCTGCAATATCTCGAACGAGGTGGGTGTTGTACTCAACCAAAGCGCTTCGTACCACTTGTGCTGATAGACGTGTCACCGAAGTCGACTTGGCCCATATTTCGGTCCATAACTCGGTCATACGGTCGTTGAAGTCGGGTGTAACCTCCACCAGTGAACCACCAAGAGCACGCCTTCTGCCGACATCACGGTGTGACGTTCTTCTGAAGCTCGCCAACTCGCCTGTTGGTTGTGACCATTGAGAATCAACATCTGCCTTCTGAGCAACCGTCGTGCATAAGGATTCGATTTCCGGAAGGTGAGTAGGCCCGTTCGGTAGAGGTATTTGAGCATTTTCTCCAGTAATCATAGAAGACAGAGTGCTATCCAGTTTTAGTAGATCTTCTTCTCTCACACCTTGTGACAAATCCATTCCTATTAAAATGGGGTTGTCTGTGTCACATATGGGCTCCTCGACGTCGCTCAAGTCATCAGCATAGTTTACCATATCTCCTTCCACAGGTACCACATCATCATCTGGAGTAGGTTCTCCTTCAAGCTCCAATGCTATGACGTCGCCCATTGTAGCTCTGGCATACTCGAATCCCAACAGCAACTTCGTCGCTGCCTCAGGTGGTGCCAAGACGGCGTCGTCGTCTTCGCTAGGAGCAACCCCGCACGGTATGGCGTTTTTCCCCAAGGCCACCAATCGCCTTCTATTATAGTTGGCGATATGCCACGAGGCTCTAGCATCAAACACCTTAGTTCGGAAGTTCCGCATGGAGTAGAAGGCCCTGTCGAGGGTAGAATGCAGTGATTCTACCTTCGACGTCCCTCTTAGGGACTTGTACACTGGTAGTACTACACCAGTATTGCGGTAGTCCGCTTCGCCGACTTGAACGTAAGCGATGCCTTCATCAGCTACACAGCCATTGAGGATATGTACACACTGGTTCATCACAGCATTTTTGACTGCGTGGGTGATGAGTGGGTACGAAGGTGATGCCACGGTTACAGCCTCTGTCTTCATACCGACGGCCCTACACTGCTCCGCAGCGACCTTATCAAGGGCTATGTGAGCCTTCACCACTAGGAGCAACTTGGCACAAGTAGTCTTCGGATCGCCGATGGACCTTCTCACATATTTGGAGCGGTCTATCCTCTTCTGCTCGTCAGTGAGATTAAGGTTAGCTTTCGCCCTCACCTCCTCCAATCGTCTTGTATCCTCCTCAGAGTCCTGGAAGAGCGACTTGGAGATCTGTTTGAGGAATTGACGCCGTCGAGGATGCTCACTATTAGCCTCTCTACCGATACGTAGGATAAGATGCATCGCATCTAGCTTCTTGTTGAAGTTCTTCTCCCAGTCATATTGATGGGCTCTACTCTCCCGTTGTAGCTGCTCAGTCGATAGTTTGCCATTACAACATCCCGTATCGACATATAATAGTTTTGGTACATTAGGTCCGTGCCGTTGGACGAGCTCTTCCATTGCTGACTTCATCCATATCCTGCCAACGTCAGGGACGACATAATAGCCAAGTATCAAACCTCCGTCTCCCACAGCAGTCAGTGATTGTGTACCTACGTAAGTAGCTCCCGTCGTCCATATCAGCCAGTTAATGTGTACCTGCCTCTCCCTTAGTTACGTCTATCTTTGTGCGTTTCACGACTTTCCTCTGGTTGTCGATGGCGATGGCTGTTGTAGAGACTAGAGCTGCCTGCTCTCTCCTCAAATCGTCGCGATTTCGGTCATAGTCCACCAAGAAAGCCTGTAACAGTGCCGGTGATTTAGCGACATATTCCTCTGGGAAGGGAGGAAAAGGCTCGAAGCTACCAGCCAATTTAAGGGCCAGCTTGGCTGCCGCGGCGTTTTCGTACTCCCTCTTCCTCGTAACATACTCGGACCTTATGGTAGCCCTGATTTGTTCCTCGAGGACCTTAGCTGCCACACCCATACGGAGAGCCAGTATAAGCTTTTTACACACCGACATGGCGCTTCCCGACACGATGAAAGGGAAGGGTTGGAGTCTCTCAGTCAGAGTGGCGCGGTAAGATGGGTCGAAGGACAAGCAATGAGCCCCGCAACTTCTACATTTCAGGTCGATCCCGATAAGGTAGCATGGCCATCCTTGTCTGTACACCATCTTCGTCCGAGATACGGCGTTCGCACGCATTGAACTATCTTCGCATGATGGGCACGCCCCGCTTGTAGGACCATAGATGTAGAGGTCGATAAACCCCTTGCGAATTTGCCACCCTATCACATCTCTAACATCGGCTACAGTGAGACCTTCAGGCTTCCTCGGCATAGCAGCACTTAGCTCCTTGGACACTACCCGCTCCAGATTGGTCCCAGCGATACTAGCGACAGGACCAGCACCACCAATCGTCGCTTTGGTGTCGATCGAAGGCTCGGGTCTTTTGGTGTCGTCCTTGACCGTAGGGTGGTAACCACATTCACAGCCACGAACCTCCTTAGGTTTGAGGGGGTGGCTAGTCCCAAATGGACACTTGAGGATCTTCTGGAACTCGTCGTACCATTTAGAAGTCTTCGGCGGAGCACACCCTCGAGGCAAAGTCCTTGCCTTGGAGGCTGCGAAGTTGGTTAATGTTTTGCGCCATTCGGCGTCGGATTTGGCGTCCTTGGGCATTCGGGATATGATATACTGCCATGAAGCTCTCTTAATTACCAAGGTTACTAGTCCATACTATCGAACTCGAGCGTGACATCATGAGAGTACACGGATGAAACCGTTTTAGGCATTTTGCACGCGTGCGTTAGGCTCAATGCTACATACCTGAATCTGCCGTTCTTTGAACTGCCGGCACCTTACCCGCGACCGACGGTCGCCTTCTTTCCTCTCTCTTTTTCTTCCTTCTTTTTTTCCCTTTTCCTTCCTCCTTTTCCTTCTTTTCTTTTCCCCCTTTTTTTGCAGTCATTTTTCCCCCGGACCTAGCTCAGTTGGTAGAGCGTCCGACTGTAGTGAACTAGTCATCGGATGGTCCCTGGTTCGATTCCGGGTTGCCGGATTTTATCCATTGACATCGCTATTGTTACATTAAGAATTTTTATAGCAAGCTTCGACTCGAAACATCATCGGGAACATAGGAAAACGTGTCTCCTCGGCAAGCTTGCTTGAGCACTAGTGCAATACACGAAATCTACCACTTCACATCGACATCTAGACGCGCTGCTCAAATAAGTGAGCATGAATTTCCTCAGAGGTACGAGAAATATACTCCACCAGAGCATTTCGAAAACAGGGAACTACAGCGATATGGCATACGGTACTCTCTGGCAGTTACGAATGAATCTCTCAGCTTTTCCGAGTTCGAGACGCGCCGCGCAGTTTGCCGGATTCGAGAGTACTCGATAGCCCAGTTTCCACACGAACTAACAAATACAGAGAAACTCTCCTACTGCGAAGTTCTGGTGGCGCTTTACCATAACGATTACACGATACGGTATAGGCTCTACGAGTACTAGGTCAACAGATGGGGCGTCACAGAGTGGGATTAGAGTAGAGTTCAACTCTCTGCATTAATCGGTACACACATGGCTGGACTGCAAGATGCGAGATTCGGGTTCGTTACAATGTCAAAGCGCCATACGTCGATATGCGAGGTACGGCATCTATCGCCATTTCGCTATCACATAGGATTCATTCGGCACAAAATATACTGATGATAAACCCCTGCCTGCAACCCGAGAAATGAAGAACCTCGTAAGTCGCAGGAAGAACAACAATATCCAACTTGCCCGTCTAGCTCAGTCGGTAGAGCGCAAGGCTCTTAACCTTGTGGTCGTGGGTTCGAGCCCCACGGTGGGTGTAATTTATTCTGATACACAACTAGGATACCATTATGGCTCCGGGAGCCATAATGGAGAGCCGTGCTCTCCATCAAGGGCTCCCGTCCACTTAAGCAACTTCAACCACTTTTCTTATAAATTTTCAGCAATAATGAGGGCATTCACCGAGTGATAATATTTGTAACAATATCACTCACTGAGGCCTCTCAAGACTCACAAGCTCCAGGCATTCCTCCGTCACTAATATTTCCAATTCCGAGTGCTCAACCAACACCACCGCATTTGGCAGCAGCTCTTCTCGTGGGAGATGACAAATTCTGGCATGGACCTAAACTCGATCACATTTCTACTCCCAAGTTGAGTTCGGCACTCATTCACCTTAAATCCAGACTCTCTCCAGATTTCCACAACCCTGTAATCTCCCTTCAATGGAGCCCAGCTACACGATGGTAGATACGAAGCTCTATTGCCACACGCGATCAAATCGTACAGGTCGAACCTACAGTGATTTGCTCAAAATCAGTGCGGAAAATTCATGAAAATTCCGAGAAATTTTTGGGAATTATTTTCGGTTTCTGTGTACTTCTACCCAAAGTCGTAGGGAATTCTTGAGCTCAGCTGAGGGAGGCAAACATATATTCCAATACTGCTCAGAATCGCAGCTTCCATAGTTACACCTACGCATCTTCCACATGCACTCCTTGCAGAGAGCTAACTTTTTCTCTTATTTCTGAGCGAAGCGAAACCGCGCCAATCTCAATGAGAATCGCATCAGAGCTATCTGAAACACCAACTACAGTCCGTTTGTTCTCCTCAATTCAGCTGAGGTGTCTCACTGCACAATAAAAATTGCCACACGACTTCGGGCACAAGTGCATAAAACCAACGAGAATTTCCCAAAATTTTCTCAGAATTGTCACCAACATACCTAGTTGGACACTATGTACATATTCTTCCACACTGCAGCCCCCACTTGACGGCAATGAGAATCAAACAAATCATCGACCAACAACAGAAATCCACGAGCATGCCGCGCTCTCCCTTGCGAAAAAAAGAGTGACATACAGCTGTAGGAAATTATCATCATCTCGATCACTCCCAACCTACCTGCTCGCGCGTCTCTCGGGATCAACACACATACGGGAGCGCCAAGATCAAGATGTACATCTATGCCGCGATGATCATAATCACCACGCGCCAGGTCTCTAGCCTACCGACACGAATAACACTATATATCATCATGGAAAATATGAGCCATGATGATGGCAGATATCAACAACGCATTCGTGAGTATCGGCATAGAATCACATGATTAATGTGATATTGTTACTATCATCAAATCTCACATATACGAGGAGTGTTGCCCCGGAATAACATCCTATACCATACAAGTACCACACAATGGGGAGCAACGATGTAGCAAATAATCTTCCCAAACTCAATCGATTCAATTTCGTCGGAATAAGTCTCACACCCCGTTTTACGTGAAGTGACGACGTAAAACTCCGTGAAAAACGCGATATTCGCGCTGATACGCAGTAGTCGTCAAATATGTTTTTCATATCACTAGAGTCAAAAAACTCCAATAATATCATTGGGAGTTTCATCCGTGGAGCTACGCGCGATTTCCCTTCCTGAAGTTGAAGCCATGAAACCGGTCCGATTATCGGTGGACCTCCACGGTTGCTACCAGGAATACTATCTAATTATCTCTATTGTAGTGTACAGACGCGCTATCATCATGTAACTGTATCTACCTATCCTCACCTATCGGGGAAATATAAATTCTACTTTCATTCTCAATTTTACGCCAGAACTCCGACCATGGCAGCGATCGGTTCGAGCCTCTCCCCAACGATCGTGGTGAGAAGGAGCGACAGATCTGATGGTCCTGGGTAGCTCATGGCGAGCATTACTCGATGAGAGTCAACAACATGTATTGTTACTATCAACTCTGGCAACTATACTCATCTTTCTACAGTTGACCAGGCCAGCGATATTCAATCAACTATCACATCATTTCAACTCAGTTTCCACTACCCTAATTCTCAAATTCTCTGTGTTAATTTCAAACTACCGATAAATTTTGGAAAACTCCCAACTCGATTAAGGCGATCTGTTCAAGTACTGTGATGTCTCCTTCTATGCGATCGCTCCGAGATACGCTAAATAGTGATAAACTAATCTAAGAAATAATAATCTAATAGACTGCTCAAGATTTACGCCTTGACAAAATCTGTGGATGACCGACTAACACGCTTTCCGCATGCAATGGGGGTCACATATCATCATGAATCATAAGTTTCTTATCTATTTCGTCGAGTAACTGTCATCGGTCGAGTGCTCAAGGAACTAGCACGGTTGAGAGCGGTGAGAATCGCGCTTCTCTGAATATCTTTGAAACGGTTACGAGTATCACCTATTACTCTTGACATAGTATCTGTTATGTAACTGGGCATCGATTGCTTCAATTGCCGAGGGAGACTGTCTTTGTCGGGAAAGGAATCGAAAATTCCGTGATTTACTCAAGAAAATGGCACGCGGCATTCAGAGTTCGTCTATCACTATATCGAGTTAACCATCCATAGCCTCACAAGTGTACTCACCAACTGCAATCCGTCCTTCACCATTTTCTGTATTCGATCACTCGCCGATTCAACGAGTGCCTCCTTACGCGCGTCACCCGATCTAGACCTCAGCTGTAGTTCTACTGCTAGTACTGCTATCACTTCAGGAATAACAACCTAACAAAAAAATAAACGATCATTTTCGTCGTTGCTTTTCCTCAGCTAAGCTCAGAAGTTTTCCCACTAATACATACGACTTCGGCGAGTATACAGAAACCAATAATTTTGAATATATGTAAATTTCCCCACAACTCACCAGTTTAGCCCGACCACATGTAAACGCTCGCACAGTTACATCGGGCATATCCTCGCGTTTACACTGAGCCATCCCAAATCTCATAAAAACATCACTTCTCGTCGTACTCGACCTTTCATTTCCTTCAATTTCAAAAACCTAAATTGAATTTCGCTGCCTACATACATATTTCACGTATTAAGATTGCGTATTAGTTTACGTTTTAGTTTTTTTAGATTACGTATCACAGTATTAGGATTACTCACACTCATAGTTTTATTTTTTCATATCACCAGGGTGAAACTCCAGTGAATCGATTCAGTTTTAGATACATCATACTATACAAATCTATCTCGTCACAAGAGACAACTCACAGTGTTAAAATTGATATTTCTTTTTTCCTCCAGCACTCTATTTAGTGTCGTTGTTAATACTGGTTTCATACACCCCATGGACACTGACCAACTACGGTCAGTCATCGTATCACTCAATACTCTCAACCTTTTACAATCTGAAATAATAAAATAACTCCGCAAACACTACAATGCTACAGCAGAATTATTTTCCTCTGTGAAATCACATTTAGTTCATTTCGAAGTGCACAAAAACTCCAATTAGGAAAGCACCACAACTGTAACACTAAAGAAACCACTGCTACACGAAATCATAGGAAGATTTGCAAACAGTCTATATTCCCAAAAACATGAAATCGATCGCTCCGCTGTATGCATAGATTCAACGCCCAACAAGACTATAATAATATATATACAATCAACAGATTCAAATAAGATATACACCGAAAATGAAATAAATAATATATTACCAACATGGAATAAATAGTAAATCACTATTTACCCCATTACTATTAGTGATATAACTTATTACACAAAAGATACACGATGAATATTACATTGGAGTTTCTTGACCCTAGTGATATGAAAAACACTAGCGAAAAACATATTGCACGACTACTACATAATGTGAATATCGCGTTTTTCATCGAGTTTTACGACGCCACTTCACGTAAAACGGGTGATCGTGAAACTCCATTAGTAAAATATCATACCATAATAATCTCTTTCAGTTTACTGCACCGAAGATTTGCGAACAGTTAATTTTCCAACAAACATAACATTCATCGCTCCGCTGTACGCATAGTTTCAACGCCCAACGCTTAATACTTGTGTTTGCGTTGCGATATCATTAACCGGATCATCAGTTCACGAATAGTATATCTATTATTATATTATGAGTATTATTATGAGCATATGACTATATTATGAGTAGCTCTATTAATGAAAATGAGCATCACTATCCTTTCCTTATGATACTCGTTGGGGTTCTCGAAGAACTACGTTTGTTCATGTGAAATTCTCATGATATTCAATTCATACCACAACTCACTCTAATAAACTTACTCATCACAAACACCTCGTCCCCTCCTTCGCGATCAAATCTAACTCTGACTTCACTATTATTCAAATCCAACTCTAGTGTAAAGTCAACTGTCCATGATGACAACGATAATCCTTCGCCAACCTGATCAGTGGAGTTTCACCACCCTAGTGATATATACATATTCCACGACTACTGCATATCACCGCGAATATCGCGCTCTCACCGACATAAAAACGCGGTGTATATACGGTGAGTAACACCGTGTTATATACGTATATTCGGTGTATATACCTTGTATTTAGATATAAGGTGTATATGCGGTGTCTCGCGGTGAATATTGGCGTTCGCCACTTTACATAAAACAGTTCGTGAAACTCCGTTGAGCAACTGATCTCATCAAAGCACTTCATCGAAAACACCTTTCGAGGTTTCCATTACTAACCAATGTTGGAGTAGGAATGTATGTAATCGCTTTCCTCAGCTGATCATAGGAGTTTAGGGGTTGAAATTTACACAATAAAGGAGAATTTCCTCTCAAAATTTTTCATATTGTCATCACCAACACATGTAGTTGCCCCCTCCCCACACTTCTTTAGATTTCATCATGAGGAGTTTATTCTTTCCTACAAAAATTCTGAAATTAAATATTTTACTTTCGGGCTGAAACTCCAACAAACCTCTTATGAAGAGAAGACTAGTATATTCACGCAAGTGTTTCCCGAATATTGCATCTACGCCACTTCGTAAAACGGATCGTTAAACTCCACTTTAGTGACATAGTCTATGAATTCATACTCAGAATTGCGGAGCGAGCCAAGCGAGCGGAGCATATACCGCAACAACAGGCACTTTCGCGTTGTGCGTGCGTGCAGAATTATTCTGGCTTAACTACGGAGCGTGGGAGGCTAGCAGATAGGTCAAACGACTCCTCTATATGCGGAGGTGTTGGGAAAAATCGGAAAACTCGATTATGCGAACAGCTCGAAGAGATATGCACGAAAAACTTTAATGATGGAGAAGTGTCCTACCCGGGGATCGACCCGGGCTGGACCTATGTAAAATTCATTGATTGAGTCCATGGACGTGGACTCAGTGAGCTCCGCCCCTTCGACACGAAGGCCTAGTACTAATTTGTTCTCATCTGTGCGTTTCCAGATTCATCACTATAATCTTGCTAAATATGATATTTAGCAAGATTACAGTGATGAATGTGGAAATATTGATATTTAAAATATCCCCCTCCCCCTTGGTGAGGTAACATTCCTTACATTCCTCGTAAGAACAACATATGATAATCGTTATCTTATAATTTCCCGTCGCGAAATTCCAATTCTTAAAAGTCCTATCTCCATAATTAACTACAATTTTCGGTTAATTTTTACCAATTTTTCCTCAGCTATCCATAAAAAATCTTCCGAAAATCGATTTCCAAGATTAAAATATCAACAAAAATTTTTTCTCCAAAAACACAATTCTTACCTTATCGCGACACTCCACAACGTCATCGCCCAACATTTCCCGCAGTTCTTCAACCGCGCGTCCTCCAGAAATCAATCTATTCGTTGCACCTACATGTTCGCTCTCCTCACCAACTAAGCTTCACACTAATATACGAATTTATATATGAATTCGGGTAGAAGCAAACAAGAAGGATTTTTAATATTGTCATCACCAACACATGTAGTTGACCATGTGCTTATCCCCCCACACACTTTTTGTTATTATTAAGAATTATTGAACTTTCTCCACCCTAGTGATATAAAAAACACTAGTGAAAAACAGTAGTGGGAATATCGCGTTTTTCACAGAGTTTTACGACGCCACTCCTCGTAAAACTCCATGGAGTGATCAATAAAATTTCAATTTTTCCGCTCCATATTTCTTATCACCATTTGCTTTCCACCATTAAAACATATTTTTTTCGAAAAATTTCCTCATTAAATTTTCACATTGTCATCACCAACACATGTGGTGCATATTTCCCCCACACACTGTTGGCTACCATCACAAACTCACTCGTATTGTCATATAAAGACTCCTTATTCTTCCTAGGACTGACGACTCTGATTATATTTTTCATAATTCCTCCACCGGAATCTCTCTCAACATTAACTTCTCGTAAGTTCATCAACGCATTCAGTCTAACCTGAAAAAAAAAGAGAAAGCTATAGAATATGGAGTTTCACCACCCTAGTGATATGAAAAACACTAGTGAGAAACATATTTCACGACTACTACAGGCTGCGAATATCGCGTTTTTCACCGAGTTTTACACCACTTCTTTAAAACGGGTGAAACTCCTATGCATAAAAGTCATAAAATCTTTTAGTATTTTAGTTAGCAGCCTTAGACTTAGATTAAAGCCTTTTAGAAAGTCATAAAATCAGCGAGGAAAATATGAAACTACATGTGTTGATGACAATATGAAAATTTTCTGTACACTTTATGTTTACAATTGTATAATTAGTGCGGAAACTCTTGAGCTCAACTGAGGAGTGCAAACAAACATTCCAACACTGTAGTTTCACCCTAGTGATATGAAAAAAAAACACCACAGCATTTACGGGTATGTTTTTAAAAAGGCTAGCTATCATATTAAAATTTTGGGAACTTAGTTAAAATCAGTCGGTAAAAGATTAAAAAAAGGGTATTTTTTTTAAAAAGTGGTAAAATTATTAAAAATTCGGGTAAAATAGTAAAATGACCTGGAAATGCTGTAGTAAAAACATACTTCACAGCCACTGCATATCACCGCGAATATCGCGAGTTTTTCACCGAGTTTTACGACCCCACTTCACGCAAAACAAATCGTGAAACTCCATTAATATACCATATATCGTTATTTACATATATTTAGAGGACATCTATTAATATTGGAGTTTCTTCACCCTAGTGATATGAAAAACACTAGTGAAAAACATATTTCACGTCTACTACTGCATAGCGCAAATTTCGAGTTTTTCACCAAGTATTACGCCACTTCACAGAAAACGGGTTGTGAACTTACTCCCATTATGTAGTCCAGATGATACTCATTCTCAAATTCATTGACTTTTTCTTCCAATTTCAGCAGCTCCTTCTGAGACACACAATCAACACTGCTTGTGGTAGAGGACTACGGGTGGAAAACTCCAGGGAAAAGAAAACGGAAAAAATTCGGTATAGAAAAAATATCTGAAATTTCATGCGTACTTCAAACAGTACCGAGAATTCACACAGTATTGCCTGAACTGTGCTACCGAAAACTCCAGAGGAAGGAGACGAAAAAACACGGTACAGAGAAAAAATCTAAAATTTCATGCGTACTTCAAACAGTACCGAAAATTCACACAGTATTGCATGAACTGTGCTGAAGTTGTGCTAAATTCAGCGAATTCTGCTAAGTTGATATCACTTGAAGACACAGACTGTCCCCACGAGTCGTGACGTATCGAGGTATGTATCCCCTTCGAGCATGCTTCCAATTCTTCGAAGAAATGACGCCTCTTTTCGTGAACCGGATTTTACATTTTTTATTGCAATTGCAGTTTAAAACTATGAGCGCTCTTTTTACGCCTAGTAAAAATCATTCTTCATAGTTTTCTTATAATTGTGATGTAGCTGTGTATGTGCTAGGGTCAAGCTAATATAACTTGCATTGTCATTTCACATTATAGCAGATATTGCTTTTCTTCCTGCGTTAGATAAGATAGTGAAGTTTCACTCAAGTGTGAAATGTATAGTATTCGGGCTTCGAATACTTTTTTTGTTTTTCTCTATCACAAGTGTCGTGATAGAGAAAAACACTAGTGGAAATCATATTTCACTGAGACTACTGCATAGCTCTGCAAATATCGCGTTTCTCACCAAGTTTTACGCCGCTCCACGTAAAACGGGTCGTGAAACTCCAGTGTTTTCCAACTAGGAAGATATTGGAAAACCCTCATAAAGATCACTAGAATTCGATGAACTCAATTTGAAATTTCCAAAATAAAATTTCGTCCCCATAAATTGAAATTTCCAACTATTAGGCAAATTCTGGTATCACAACTGTACGTTGTATTCTCGACAAAAACACCAAACTCCATGAGCGGAGCGAAGCTCACATTTCCACTGCCATTCGAATCTGCCAATATACCAATCTTAGTGGTCCACGCTACTGCATACTCCTTTTCCTCATCAGCCGACCCATGCAGGTCTTTATCACGATAGTAAATCGCATAATAAAAATTACCGTAAATATATCTGATCACATTGCAAATCTCGCTCGCCCCAAATCGATCAAACTAGGTCATCATTGAAATTACATCAGTATACGTGTTGGAATATATATTTGATTTCCTCAGCTGAGCTCAGGACTTGGGGGAAATACAAATATACAAAAACCAACGAGAATTTCCCGAAAATTTTCTCAGAATTCTTCTTAATTGTCACCAACAAATGTAGTTGACCATTTGTATTCTTTCCCACACTGATCGGAGACACTATAATAGCATATAATCATCATAATATGTCCAAAAAAATTACACATATGACAGAAAATAGTTACAATACTTACATATGATAGTGAATAATCTCAGACAGGTCCATCAGTTGATCATAGGCAAATCGAAACTCAGCCTCGGGGAACTTGAAACCGACGTAAATTGCAGGAAGTACGGTAGACACGCCCGGGTCCTGAAAAACGTGACACGAAAAACATTAGTGAAAAACACATTTCACATTTCGCTTCGCGAAAAACGCATGTGAGCAATGAACAACGAGTGATATAACATATTAATGATAAACGAAAATTTGTAAATAATGCTCACATACCACGTTTCACGTGATATGGTGTAATTCGTCAATTCAATTCACATCGCGAGTATCGCGTTTTCCACACAGAGTATTATGCCACTTCACGTAAAACTCCAATGCTAAGCTCACTAGTAACACGAGCTATGATTGCAAGACTCCTTATCTACGCCATAAAAGAATACATCATAATTTGCCCTACGCGTAGTTTTTCTCGAAAAAATATGACTTTTTGAAGCTTGAGAAATTTCATTCATCTACCATGTATAGAAAGTCAGTGCAGTTAGACATTCCCTCAGATTACTATCGATGACGGCAAAAGCACAGCAAAAAGTATCAACATGTTTGCTTTCCTCATCACAGGAGTTTCCAAAGCTAACTATACCAGTTCATATACAAAAATCAGAAACCAACGACAATTTCCCAAATTGCCATCACCAACACATGTAGTTGACCACATACATATTTCACCCCATTGAAAATCGTAATAATCAACTTTAACTACTGCGTCATGACACTGGAGGAATAAATAAAATCTAACCTTACAACACTTCTCATATCACCAACGACTATCGCAGCTTGTACCAAGTCTCAGCCAATGATATCAATGGAAGTGAAATAACACAAAATGAAAATATGTGTGTGTGTGTGAGTTTGAGGTCCAACGCTTACGACAAGTCGGGGCGAAAGATATGGAAAAGGAGGGGGAAAAGAGAAAAAAATAAGAGAAAAAAGGGAGGAAAAAGGGATAAAAAAGGAGAAAAAAGAAAAGAGAGAAAGGAGAAGAATGTGTGTGTGAGTGATTTTAAAATCAAATGCCTATTACGGCAACACGGCTCAGCTAGAATCGCATCGATGCACATCAGCCCTCGAGGGATCAGCTCTAGCCGTGTTTAAATTGTCTACTGTCATCATCGGCGAGATAACCTCTGCCAATGCCAATGTACTTCCTCTCAAAATGAGAACACATATATCAGTATATAGTTCACTATCTCAACTCACATTAGATTGATTATTTCCCATTCCACTGGGAATCCAATCTTCATCATGGGGTGAATAACACTCATTTAGTCCAACCCTCACAGGCACCTATACTCAGATAATCAACCAGGGAAACCTATAATGTTCCCGGCTAGGAACACATTCTTTAATCAGTTTCCCCGATGTAAATGTCATCATCATATTAGTAACATCATTTTCCCCATTGTTATCAAACCCTAGAGAGACGTTATTTCTCAGAGCTACTTAGGTTCCTGTACTTTCTCAAAAAATGATAATAAATATTTCCCCACTAACCTTAGTAGTTATAATACGTAATTCGCAATAAACAAGTATATAAACGATGTAAATATTGTTATGATAACAGTAACCTTTCGAGACTATGATAGCGACAAGTTGTTCACTATCAATGGAGTTTCACAACCCGTTTTACGTTAAGTGGCGTAATACTCTGTGAAAAACGCAATATTAGCGGCCTGTAGTAGTCGTGAAATATATTTTCCACTAGTGTTTTTCATATAACTAGGGTCAAGAAATTCCATTAATCTCGGAATAGAAAAAACGCACATGTGCATATCAAGTTAACATACATTGGAGTTTCACCCGTGATATGAACATTTCTCAGGACTACTGCATATCACCGCAAATATCGCGAGTTTTTTACAGAGTATAACGCCACTCCACGTAAAACGGGTCACGAAATTCCACTGAGAACAATCCAATTTTCCCACTAACCTTAGTAGTAATAATACGTAGTTCGCCATCAACAGGTTGGAGTAAATAAGATTCGTATCGAATCACACGCTGTAAATCTGAAACAATAAGATCTGGTAAGAACATGAGCAGCCACATGTGTTGTAATCTTTATAAAATTTTGGAAAATTCTTAATGATTTTTCTACACTTCTACTCGAATTCGTACGTAAATTTCTATAATAAGCTTTGAAAACTGCTGAGCTCAGCTGAGGAAAGCAAACACATATATCTACGTAAGTCCAAATTACGGCAATACAGTGTGTGCGAATTTGATATGCATATGTGAGTTTTCTATTCCGGGATTAATAATAGTGAACAACTTGTCGCTATCATAGTCTCGAAAGGTTACCATAATTACATCACATGTTCATAGCAATGTTTACATTTGTTTATATTATGCAAATGTGAAGAATGTGAGTTTTCTATTCCGGGATTAATGATAGTGAACAACTTGTCGCTATCATAGTCTCGAAAGGTTACCATAATTACATCACATGTTCATAGCAATGTTTACATTTGTTTATATTATGCAAATGTGAAGAATGTGTGTTTTATATTCCGGGATTAATAATAGTGAGCAACTTGTCGCTATCATAGTCTCGAAAGGTTACCATAATAACATCACATATTCATAGCAATGTTCATGTGACATACTCTAACATCGATTCTCAGGAAAAACCACAAATCTTTCAAATTTCCATATCCAATTCACACACACTGTCTGTTACATCATCCGAATAATTGTCGCAATTTTTTTCAAAAAAAATTCTTGTTTTTTTTGAAAAAAAAAGAGACAACACCACCGAAAAAAAACCATCACGGGAAAAGTCAACTACCATAAAAACAAACTAAAACACTCTCGTGAGTGCCAAACTAAACAATTCCCAACAGTGTTGGAGTAGGAATATATGTTCGCTTCCCTCAGCTGAGCTCAAAACTTTCCAGAGCTAATTATAAAAATTAGGGTAACCAACAATAATCTACTCTCAATTTTCAGATTGTCATGTAGCTAACCATGTGAATAACATGCACTGCACAATTTCTCAGAGGTCGGAAAGGTAAATTTCAATTGGAGAAACCGACACTGGTGTTTCACTCTAGTGAACACTGGTGAAAAACATATTTCACAAAATCACTGCAAACCGCGAGTATCGCGTTTTTCACTTGACATTAAACGCGTGAAACTCCACTAATATCCTCTCACATTCAAAAGCCTTCTTGTGGTGCTCATCCGGTGACACCGGAAACGGTGATGACTTAGGCTCTATAGGGTAGGAGTCCAAATATCTGATCTCAACTGTTACAGGGAAAAACAGAAACACACGATAGATTTGGAGGAGATAAAGTTTCCACAAAAATAAAATTGAGAAAAAACCGGGGAGAAATTTCAAAGATCTACAGTGAAGAGTAAACGAACAAAATACCAGAATAAAAAAACACACAGTAAAACAAGTACAAACCGGAAAAATGAAAAATTTTCAACAGAAAATGCAAAGAAGTGAACAATTCATTTGACAAGTTGTAATATTAATTATTGACAATGGAGTTTCACGATCACCCGTTACGTGAAGTGGCGTCGTAAAACTCGGTGAAAAACGCGGTGATATGTAGTAGTTGTGAAATCTATTTCTCGCTAGGGTGAGCCTCCATGCACCAAATTTAATGAAGTTTCACCCCTGATGTGAAAAATTTGATGAAAAACACAAGTGAAAAACATATCTCACAATTCACTTCGCGGAGAACAATTGCATTATCGATCGCGGAAACATACACGTTGTAAATTTGCATAGATTTTCACACCACTTCACGTTAAACGGATGAAACTCCAACAATATGAAAAAAGGTGAGAACACAGGAAAATGAATACCACCGGGAGAAAACGGAAAATTCTCCACGAAAAAAAAATGCGAAAAAATAAAAGATTTTTTCCGCCTTACATGCCAAACTGCTGTACTTCAGCAACTTTACAAGACACGTTTTGTTTGCCAGCGACGGTCGGATGTGACGAAAAGTTGGTACGAGATGACGATAAACTTGCATGCTTCACCTGAATCATAGAATGCAGTGTTCGACGAATATATATGTTGTTCGCTTTCCTCAGCTGATATCGGGAATTTCCAAATTTACGGTAAAAGTATACGAAATTTCCCAAACATTCTTACACATCACCAACGATTTTCGCGGAGCGAAAATTGTCAAAAATTTCACCGATTACAATATGGACTGAGTTCCTCATCAGCGTTTTTACACGAGTTAAAACAGCGGAGAAATCATACTAGGTAGAACTACACGATAAATCGCCGATTAGTGGGAACACTTTTCGGGATATTCCATATTTCATTGTGGATACTTCGCGAAGTCATTTGGCATCAGCTCACATTTCGACCTCTCTCATCAGCGTTTTTACACGAGTTAAAACGTTCGACTATTCCGATGTGATCTCACCTGCGCTCCAAAGACGACTTTCCTGCTAATTCCACAACTGTGAGTATCCTCCAAAACAAGATGGACATTCTTTATTTTCACCTGATCAAAATGTGTAGTCTAAACTGAGGAAAAATTTCCGAAAATTTTATAAATTATATTTTCAAAATCGATCATCTGATCGATTTCCGAACACATATCACATTTCCAGAACAATGTAAAACACACTAGATAATAAAAAGTAGAGTTCGGGAAAAGTGTGGGAACATATGTTTCCACGCGACAATACCAATCAAAAAATGTTACTCGTTCACTGTTGGAGGAATATATCTTTGCTTTCCTCAACTGAGCTCGTAAGTTTCCTCACTAATTATGAAAATTTTCGCTAGAAGTATACAAAACCCAGTGATAATTTCCCGAAATTTCCACATTTTTACCAACACATGAAATGGTTGACCGCGTGCATACACCCCTCCCCAACACTGCTCGAAAGGTCACCTCTAAGCTCGCCAATAAACTCGCTGATATCCTCCACATAAGGGACTTGGGCTTGTCGTGTTGCTGCGAAAGGTTAATGAAATCGTGAACTTCAAGCGACTTCCTTTTATATCTAAACTACAACAATGGAGTTTCACGATCACCCGAGTTTTACGTGAAGTGGCGGCGTAAAACTCGGTGAAAAACGCGATACTCGCGGCCTGTAGTAGTCGTAAAATATGTCTTTCATATCACTAGGGTGAACAAACTCCAATAATACTACTCAAGTGAAACCAACGACTATGAATGGTTCGGAAGGGCGGGAAAATATGCACATGTGTCGGTGACGATATGAAAATTCTGAGAAAATTATGGAAAAAAAATTTTTGCCTGTTTCTGAACACTTCTACCCGAATTCGTATATGATTAGCTTTGAAACCTCCTGAGCTCAACTGAGGAGAACAAAAGTATATTCCTCCAACACTGCTCATTCGACGTTAACAAAATCATTAATATTAATATGATTGACATAATACCAACACTGACAAAACTCACATAATATTGAAATTTTACCCGCTTTTCGCGATGGAAAATGTGTTTTTCATATCACGGCTGAAACTCCATCATTTAACCGAAATCTTACTCTTCCTTTAATTGAATCTCCTTCTGTTCATCCCATTCAGCGGCCGACTCTGTTTTAAGTACAATGATAACGTCCTCGATAGTCACTACGGTAGGCTTGCTCGCGAGAGATCTCCACGGTATTGAGATTCCCAGTACTCGAACATAACCTGAATTATACTAACTTATCTCAACGAGAAGGTATATTTATCACGTTTAGAATTTTCAGAGAGATCCGAAGCAACTCGTCTACAGAAAATACATTCCCTTAAAACACTTCCCACTGTGAAACGTGAAATCTTCTCCGGAAATTCGCGACAGTGTCTCACCTATAGCCACAGTAATAGGCAACGAAAGGAAGTCGAATATATCTTCTTTTAATTTCAAGTCGAACAACGATACCTGAACATAGGAAGTCAAAACTCAACCAGTATCAAAAGTAGTATTAATGTAAGGTACCTCCCAACATTTTCGTGATATGAGAGTTCATCTATTTCCTATATTCTTGCTAACGTCGCTAGTAGAAAAAACGATAAAAAACGTATTCTCGGCAGTGTTGGAGTATGTGTGTTGATTTCCTCAGCTCGGTTCGAGGAAGTTTACTCACTAATTACTAGACACAAACATACACATGGATGTACGGAAATCGACCAGAAGGTGCATATATGTGGTGCTGTATATATGTGGCCGTGCATATATGTGGTGGTGCATATATTTGGTGTATATATATGTGGTCGTGCATATATGTGGTCGTGCATATGTGTGGCCGTGCATATATGTGGTGGTGGACATATGTGGTGGTGTATATCTGTGGTCGTGCATATATGTGGTGGTGGACATATGTGGTGGTGGACATATGTGGTGGTGTATATATGTGGTCGTGCATATATGTGGTCGAGCATATATGTGGTCGTGCATATATGTGGTGGTGTATATATGTGGTCGTGCATATATGTGGTGGTGCATAAATGTGGTAGTGGACATATGTGGTGGTGTATATATGTGGTCGTGCATATATGTGGTGGTGTATATATATGTGGTGGTGGTGGTGTATATTCACTTCTGATTTCCTTATCTCTGATTGAATCCAATATATTCATCATCAGTAAACATTCTTATATGATTCTCTGTTGAGCTGCAATTGGGTAGGGGGATATAAAAACGATCAAGTTCGATTGTTTTCGGCAGTGTTGGAATATGTGTAAGACTTTCCTCATTCAGAAAGTGGGGCGGCTATGCCATCTCGAGATATGAATTAGTAAGACCAATTTTACCAAGTGGGGCGGCTATGCCATCCCGAGATATGACAAAGTAAGACCAATTTTACCAAGTGGGGCGGCTATGCCATCTCGAGATATGAATTAGTAAGACCAATTTTACCAAGTGGGGCGGCTATGCCATCCCGAGATATGACGAAGTAAGACCAATTTTACAAAGTGGGGCGGCTATGCCATCCCGAGATATGCCTTAGTAAAATATATTTTAGCAAATGAGGCAGCTATGCCATCCCAAGGCATGCCTCATTATCACCCCTAGTTGACCATATGCATATTCCCCTCCCTCCTTACCTCTCCCTTAGCCAATGATGCCTTCAACTGTTTACTATCGACATTCTCTACATAACCACTTAATAGGTCACGAAGGAAGGAGACAATATAGGAATTGGTGATAGACGATAGGAGACGAGTGAACATCCTCAAACACTTAGCGAACAGGTGTGGCGGCTAAGCCATCCCAAGATATGCCTCATTATCACCCCTAGTTGACCATATGCATATTCCCCTCCCTCCTTACCTCTCCCTTAGCCAATGATGCCTTCAACTGTTTACTATCGACATTCTCTACATAACCACTTAATAGGTCACGAAGGAAGGACACAATATAGGAATTGGTGATAGACGATAGGAGACGAGTGAACATCCTCAAACACTTAGCGAACAGGTGTGGCGGCTAAGCCATCCCAAGATATGCCTCATTATCACACCTAGTTCACCATATGCATATTCCCTCCCTTCGACCTCTCCCTTAGCCAATGATGCCTTTAACTGTTTACTATCGATATTGGAGTTGGTGCTAGACGATAGGAGACGAGCGAGCATATATGGAAGAGATATGGAGCCTAAGGTGGTGGGGCGGCTATGCCATCCCAATATATACCTAAATCCACTCAATTGCCTCGGACGAGGCAACTATGCCACTTGAAGGGGGGATTCAGTGCAATCAATTCTCTCAAGCGGGGCGGCTATGCCCATCCCTATGGGAAGATCAAATGGGGCAACTATGCCAATGGTATCATGCCACCCCAAGATATGCCTCACTACAATCAACCTCGCCAACCAGAGCAACACCAATTTCAAGAATCAATTTTTTGCCGTTGGTCAGATGGCCTGACTGAGACCAACCCTCCTCGATAGTAAACATGCTGACCCGATGGGAACACTGATAGTTAGACCAGAAATAATAGTAGAAATACAAATGTACCACTATGGAGTATTGCTATACTATACCATCATGGACCTTCAACACAGCGTCGAGAGAAAAGATCCTTGCTGATCCAATGAATTGACTATAACGCAAACACATCTAAAGTTCAGATTCAGATTCTGAATGATACAAACATCAACAGTAATCCAAACGCGCATTATGAACCCCATCCAGTCAGGCTAACTGATTCAAAATTGAAGTTATTCAATGCTACAAGGCGGCGGTCGACATAAAATCGGGAAACAATACCATGAGCAAATTTCAAGGAATAACATATTCGCTGAACACGTTATTTGATCAACCACTCGAAGCACTCGAAGTTTGTCAGGGGTCCATCGTTCCCAATCTCATTTCAATTCCACGGTAACCATTGAAACAAATGACATCTACAATACCCCTTTCGCTATCATAAATAAATCAACCCCGCGAATTCCACCTCGTCTAAAACTTGCCCTGTGTGAAATTCGCCTGGTGAAATTCTCGAAGTGTTTTCGTCCCCATCTCGGGAGTGATTCTCACGTGTTAAACACCGAGTATTCCCCCAGCTCGGATGAAACGGTGGATCTCCGTTGAATACAGAACGAGTTGAGTCATCACAAACAATACAGATTTCTCAGGTTTGCGCACTTTCTTCTACGCGTAGCTTCACAAAATATTTCTCACATACCCTCTTTCAACGGAACTAATCCTCCCTTTCGTCACTATTCGAACGGCTCTGTACATACCATTGTACACTGACAAGGCCCGGCCTTGGAGGCCGCGGATTCTCACAAACAAGGTCACCATGGGGGTGTCCAAAAAGCACAGCAGTCCGCTCTCCTGCCCTGGTCATCATCGGAGGACTTCACATTGCGACAAGATGGATCGACGAGTATGGTTGCGGCTTACAGGTCCGACCATCGACAAAACTTGTACGGGAGGTTGTGTGAGGGAAGTCACGGACCTTCGGCCCGCTACCAATGCCAGTAGTGTCTAACTCTCTATACCGCGCCGAATCGATACTTAATTCGTTGGCACCCCTCATTCATAGCGCCTACCGTCAGTGGAACGCATGTCAGTGCTTTCGGGCGCGCGCTTAATTTCATGGCGCGTGACAAATACGCTCGATATGGTACTTGAGGAGTAAAAATCCGCAGTTCAGCCACAACAAATTCATGATACTGGTCACAAAATTATTGCTAATCCTCGATGGTCGAAATCACTCCGGTTCAGCGCCTGGAATGTCTAATTGAGAAATGCTCTTATTGCGAACCTACAACCGGGTCTCTTCTTGTAGTGTGACATTAGGAAGGTATGTCAGCCGTGAAGCGAGCTCGTACAGAGGAGCGTTCCAGTAGCCGAAGTGACGCTCTAGTCGGCCATACTGTCGACGAAGCCAAGGCGCTCATACCGCGCACGCCCGAGGAAAAAACCACTGGGAAAAGACTTGTTGTGGTAGTGCAGTGGGACTCCCACTGTGGGAGGGAATCTATTATGGTGTAGCTCGGTGTAGCTATTTGTTTGATTGGTTAAGGTTGATGAACATTTCACTTGTGACTCGTATAATCTACCATGTCAAACGTGTATAATTCTGTTTCCAAAAAAAATGGTGTAGCTCGGCAACTGTTCAGCTCTGATTTCCTGAAGTTTTGGTATGAAAAGTACAGTTTTCTGTAATAATATTCTTGGTGCAAAATCCGAGCTATTGTTGAGACAAGCATGTTTTAAAAATTCATTGAAAAAATCTGACCCCTTGCTGGTCACGTCTTGATGGTGGTAGGTCTTAGAAAAAGCAGCTCTCGAGGTTGTTCAAGTGAAGGGCAAATACGAGTTGTTGAACAGCGACGATCACAAGAATATCCTGGCGAAATCGGGAAAGGACATTTCCGCATATCGGCCGGACATAACCCATCAGTGCTTGATGATGTTGTTGGATAGTCCCTTGAATAAAGCGGGGAAGCTACTTATCTATGTTCACACTATGAACAATGTAATATGGTGGAGAGTTAGTTTTCATCGATGAATTGGTATAGTGGTAAAATTGTTGGCTAATAAGGCAGAGGAGGCTGGTTCGAATCTTGGCGTTGTCCTCTGTCTATCACCCATCTGGTGCCCTTGATAGAACTTTGTGCTCACTACAACCACTACTAAAATTATATAATGGAGTTTCACGTGAATGCGGTATTCGCGGTATGAAGTGAATTGAAAATTCTTGGCGAATTGTATCGAGGAAATCACCCCATTTGCGTTATGGTGGAGTAAAATGTGAAATATTTTCCCACTAGTGTTTTCCATACAATACTATACGATTCTACTACTATTGAACTATATCATTATGACAAGGTTCTCATCGAAGTCAGCCCCGCCTTGCGAATGCCTCGAACCTTCAAAAGGTTCTCCGGCCTAATCGTCGAGCTCCTCAACAAGAACAAGATACGAGCGGCCAACAGTAATAATAATAATAGAAGCATCACTGAAAATCTTCGCTGTGCGCAAAATATTATCCTAATTCAGGTAGTGAGATTCTTATGAAGGTTATTGCGAATCCTATACAGAAATATCTTCCAGCTGGTGGCATCAAATGCGGATTGTCAGTAGATGGTCGGCTTCTCACCTGTAGTTGTTTTACTTTATATATATTATTCGCATATGGTCCCGTGTAGGTCCGCAGTGGTTGAAGTATCATGACGATACCAAAGATTCAAAAGGCCACTGCTTGATAGATACAGTCCCGGTAACTGTGGTCATCGGTGCTGTAGCCCATGGAGAGCCTTGCTCGGTGAGTAGTTTGGTGACACTGCCAGTGTCACCATATGTGAATGGGCATTACCGTCTGAGAATAGTGTGTACAATTTAATACGAGGAGGCCTATCGCTTCGTGATCAGTGTTGGAGTAGGAATATATGTAATCGCTTTCCTCAGCTACTGAGCTCAGGAGTTTCCTATACAGTGTTGGAGTAGGAATATATGTAATCGCTTTCCTCAGCTGCTGAGCTCAGGAGTTTCCTATATAGTGTTGGAGTAGGAATATATGTAATCGCTTTCCTCAGCTGCTGAGCTCAGGAGTTTACTACGAATTCGGGTAGGAGTGCAGAATTTTTCATATGAAGATGACCATGTGCATATTTTCCCACACTGCTTTGTGATTGTATTGTATTTATGTTCAGGAGCCTCGGTTCGGTGGTGACTACGTTGAAGAGACCATCGCCATCTCGAATCACGGCCTCAGTGCTGCTATCTGTTGTGCTAAGCTTACCTGTGCTTTAGAAGATCGATGGAATATCATCTAAAGCCACCGCCACCACCACGTTATCTACTACGTTCTCCAAACAGAAATGATTTCTTGTGTTCATACATAGTCATCGGGAGAACCGGCCTGACCTTAGAAGATCCTCAGCGTCGTTGCTATGTGCATTGCCCATCACATACTTGTTGGGAAGAGTCAACATAACGATAGGAGAGAAATCAGACTCAATTGATCATGTTGTCGTTATCAGATAGTAACCAGCAAAACGGTCGGATCGATCAGAGATATGAGGATGTTGCATATCGTTCAGTTGAGGACACGAAAATACTGCAGAAATGGAATCTGCCAGGAATTTCGTTTATGTGTGGTATTTTAGTGACATTTTATCTCGGCGAGTAGGGACAGCATGAGAGTGTTTAAACTATCATTGGAATTTTTTTCAAGGAAAAACGAATTCTCATATTTTTTCAAAAAATATAATAATTCGTTTTTTTTCATTTCTCTCACTGATACTACGTATTTTAATGTGTATTTCCGAACGAATCACTAATAGAGATTACACAATTCCAAGTTATCACCATCACAGAAAGAACGCCAAGAGCTTCAGAATTGGCTATTCGCACGCTCTAAGGAGCTACTAGGATTAGGCCCTTCTCCCTATAGTATATACAGTGACCATTATATCGTGGCAAATCGATCAAGCTGATCGAAAGTATTATTATGTTTGTGATTTTGCAACCCAACGCCTACTAGACAACGCGGCTTACTTAGACCCACCTCGACGTACATTATCCCCCGAGAGATCAGTTTTAGCATATTAAATTGTCTACTGTCATCATGCCAATGAGTTTTCTCCACAGAGCGAGATAACGCCTCGGCAGGATCCGCTTCCACAGCTGCGGGGCTCTACGACCACAGCACAAGCGCTTAGTGTGTTGATCCTAAGCATTATTATGTCTGCAATTCAATTAATCATCACCATTGTGAGGGGAAAACATGCACTTTTTCGATTATATGAGAATCCCGGGGGATTCTTGTTTGAGGAAACTCCTGAGCTTGGCTGAATAGAGCCATCGTATTTTCCAGTATTGATCGTTAGTAGTCACAGAATTGTTGATATTTTCACCAAGTCGCATTCGAACTGTTCTTGTCACCAATACGCTCTTAACTGTGTTGAGTGTTTCTAATAATGTAAAAATGTTCACCTCCCTATCATCAAACACAAGCCTCATGTAGTTCAGTACAGAAGAACCGTCAAACTACTGCAGAGTACGTTAACAACAGCAGTAGTAATGTAACCAAGAGAGTGTTGAATACAGAAAGAGCCCGATAAATACCTCCTTACGAGCTTTTGCAGTACAGAAGGTCGACAGCGTCGTTACTATCAACAACCAAGACTATTGAATAGGTTGGTAACAGCTTGATAACACTAAACAGCTACGCGAAACGCAAACATTAGCAACAACAACAACAAAATGAAATTATACTATGGGGCCAGAGCTCTCCTAAGAATAGGTGTTGCCGACTTTCACAGGCATCGTATTTTGCAGCAGATGCACCAACGGTATATAGAATCAACACGATGACCACAACAGTCTCACAATAGGAGGTCTCCAAGAGCCATACTGTACTTTAAATGAGTCTGAGCATACGGGTCGCAGACTTCAACTTGCCTCGCTTTTTGCGGTACATATTCTCTTACACGACGTCGATGACGATGAGACCGACGCGGGGGGCGAGGGTTGGTAGGAGCGGGGAATTCCAATGATCGACCCGAACCCAATTCGAATAACTTCGGTCTGAACTCTTCATCAGCAGCGTTCACTGGGCTCTCTCTGAGATGATCGATTTGAGTTTGAAGGCCCTGATTCTTGGCTGGCTCGACAGCTAACGGCAAGTGACCATTGATAACCAAACCATTGAAACCGTCGACCATCTTCTGAGCGTAAACCTCATCAGCAAAATTGATGAAGGCGAAACCAACAGCTTCATGAGTCTTGAAATTCAGGGGGACATACAGGAAATCAAAGGCGCCCTCGAAACCAGCTTCTTGCAGTACTTTCTCGAGGTAGTTGACATTAACGTGTGGTTGTAAATTATGTATCATAACAGTAGTGAACTCCTTGTGATCTATTTGTGAAGATGAAATACAAGTAGCAGTGGTTTCGTCATCAGAACCAACCCTATATGAAGATCTACGAGGCTCACGTTGGAATCTCGTACAAGAGCGACTTCTAGGGCGACACCCGCACTCCTCACGTGGCTCGAGGAGAGTCATTTCTCCGGGACCACCAAAGTGTAGGAATGTATTGTACAACTCGCAATCTAAGTTGCAGTCAATACTTGAGGAATAAGTGTTGGCGGTATTTCTCGATGTTGTTGATGATGATGGTGAAGAAATAGTTGAAGAACACATTGCTACGAACTCGAGAAAATAACTGGAAAAAAGTCAAAATATTTCCCAAAAAAATCACAAAAATTAACGAAAATACTAGTAAGGGCTTCAAACACCGAATTAGGGAGAAACGATGGTAAACTTCTCCCATACGCGAAACTCAGACAAGGGGCTATAATAGACTCAAAAGTTTCAAATTTTTTCACGAACAACCACCTCGAATATCAGAAAATCACTACGTTAGCTCTCTCATAACTAAAGGGGGTCATCATGGAAATTTTCTAGTGTCAATTCTAATCCTCATTTCCTCAAGGGAAACGCTATCGTCATTCACAGCCTTAATCTGTCACATTTCCATCAATTCTCAGCTTAGCAAAGAACACAACTTTCAACGGCCATACACCGTTTAAATGTCGAATTGAAAATCGCCACCCTCGTAAAACCAATAGCTTAACACATTCGGTTGAGACGTACAGAGACTGTACCGCTAACGAAATTTAGTAGACAGGAAGCACACAAGAATCTTGCACGCATGCACACGACCCTGTCACGTTCAGATTTTCCCTATACTAGTGATGCGACAACTACACTATGATGGAAGCTCTGCTCACTCTCATCTCATCGGTCTTCTTACTCTCCCTCTTCGTCCTGCTCCTCTTCCTCTTCGTCCTGCTCCTCTTCCTCTTCGTCCTGCTCCTCTTCCTCTTCTACTATGGACTACGACTCTGACGTCTCTGACGCCTCTGACGCTCTACGACTGCCCCCTCTTCTTGTAACTCCAACCAGTCGGTGGCTACTATTACTAGTAGCGTGTCGGTAATCACTTTTAGTAGCGACAGCGACACCGCTACTATTCCTCTTATCATATTAGAGTGATTGACATGCTAGTTCCTGTTCCTGTTTCTATTATTAGTCAAGTTGATTTGCATATTCAATTAATGTTTATTGTCTGATGAATCGGATTACGTTTACAATACTAATGAAATTCTTGTGGTGGTTTGGTGTGGTGTGTGTTTCGTCGGGTTTCGGGCCATCATGCCAACCGCCCGATTTCAATTCCTTGTCTTGTCATTATTCTTAATTTATTCGCGACTTATAAGTTATAAGTCGCGAGTTATATGTTATAACGAATCGATAAAATGACTTGCGTTAGTTGATGAGTTTCAGATATATAAATATGATCGAAATAGTGGTCAGGTAAGTTGCATAAACTTCCCGCTGCGCCATGAAATTGGTAAAGGATCCGAGTTCGATCCCTGGTTTAAACATTCGCAAACTTACGCATCCAGGTTCGACACGGGTGTTGTCATTTTCCCATGATTTCCTTACATACGTGTACCACTTATTACTAATTTAAAAGCGTCGTTCCTCAATAATCATTAACCCGTTATCATTAGACTTAACTCAACGACTTACCATGAAACTAGAAAGTTTCTAGTAGAAACTAGAAACTAGAAACTAATAGTTTCTAGTAATAGTATTACAATTAGCCATAGCACTGCTCTACTTCCCCCCTTTTCACCATCGACCGCCACCCCTCATATGTCTTGCTGGCGGTACGTTCAGGAAAGTAATTTTCCTGAATGTACAGCCACGCCTTACCGCACCTCCTCACTGCCATCACCAACCTACGCTTATCATCGTCGTCCCATCTCTGGTAACAACGAGTAGAGTCCTTTTTTAGAGTCAGGGCCGCCATAGTACCGCATCGCATCTCTAAGCGCCATTTGGGCGTAGTAATACCCCGGCATCAGTGGTGGTGGTGGTGGACGACGAGGTTGGTGGAGTGGTAGTGGTGGAAGAAGGAAAGGTTCATGTTTTGTAATTTCGTGTTTAGTAACCGTGTGAGTAGTAGTAGTAATAGTAGCCTTGGCAATAGTGTCGTCCCATTCACTTTGCTTGACAAGTGGCGGAGGTAGGGGGGAGGGGAGAGGTTCTTCATCTTATTACCTGTCATTTCCAACAAGGATTTCCCAATATCATCAGTGACGCTTGCGTGCAATTAGTGGTGAGCATAGCTAACGGAGGGCGCAGCGCACTTCGCATGAACCATACTAAAATTGTCAACATATCAATTTTTTATAAGTTCTTAAGACAGTCGTAGTAGTGACTTCTCACGAGTGCGGAAATGATGAAATCCTCAAAGCTTCTGGTGAACAGACTGTTCAGAACAGTGTGTTACGTTTGTACGATAATTTATTCAGCGGAGCGAAGTGATTTTTTTCAATGAATAGGAATACGGGAATCTCCGCTGAAATACACATGGTGACAGTCTGCAAATACTGCTGCTATAAACAGTCATGATCTCGCTGAAAAGTGCTCTCATCTGGCCGATTCACATCGTAGAAAATTTTTTCTAAATCCTATCAAATCGTTGATGAAGAGCCAGGAGTACCTGACTAGTGAGAAGGTACTATAAGCGGTGGAGTGAAAAAGTCACGAACGTTTAAGATATCAACGGGCTATGAGCTCCATAAACTGGAGTTTCACGATTACCCGCTTTAAGCGAAGTGGCGTAATACTCCATGTAAAAAGCGCGATGTTCGCGACACGCTGTGAATTGAAAACACTTCGTGAATTACATCGAACAAATCACCCCATTTAACGTGAAACACCCACAGCGAAGTGAAATATGTTATTCATATCACTAGGGTGAAACTCCATCGTCAACTTCAACACAATTCACATTCTCATCATGTCGGGAAAATCCTCGTATATTCATCAACATCATATTCTTTTCCCGTAACCGGACATCTTATTCTCCCACTCCTCCCCACTGAGCCGTTTCCTTTTAATAGCAACGCCATGCACTGCGATGATACAACATGACCACCTGGGCTCGCCAACGCTTGCTCCTAAACGACAATTCATCTCATTGGAGTTTCACCCGTGACATGGAAAACACTAGTAGAAAACATATTTCACGACTATTCCAAGGCGCAAGTATCGCGTTTTTCACCGAGTTTTACGACGCCACTTCACGTAAAACGGGTCGTGAACATGGTCAACCACATGTGTTGGTGGCAATATGAAAACTGCGAGCAAATTAGGTTACGTCCTATACACGTTCGTATATAAACTCCTATTACTAATGAGGAAACTTTCGAGCTCAGCAGCTGAGGAAAGCGATACACCTTACTAGCCGATTACTTTCCCAGTCAAACTTACCCAGACACACGTGTATGCTGAGAATTCGAGGAGAAAATTTTACACCAATTTTCGAATTCCCACTGGCATAGCCCTGGAACTGGGAGGTTTTATCATGTAAAGCATAACAATACAACCGACCAACGTATCGAGCGGAGCAGAAAATCATCCAGGAACCTATAATGTTCCCGGCTAGGAACACATTCTTCAATCAGTTTCCCATGTAAATGTCATCATCACATTAGTAACATCATTTTCCCCATTGTTACCAAATCCTGGGGAGACGTTATTTCTCGACACTAAATGGGTGCTCGAATTCGGAGAAGCACGCATACTATCAACTATGATGATTCATATTTCTGACAGCACTACTATACGGACCAGAATGGCTACTTATCGGAATTTCCACATAACTAACACAAGATACAAATGCATCCACTGACAACGGCCAGCGCGGCGATTGTCAAATGCACATGCCCAACTACATGTGTTGATAAGAATATGAAAATTCTATGAGGAAATTTAGGGATTTTCTCATTGGTTTCTGCTACCAGGATTCGTATATGAACTTCTTTAAAAAATGTGTTTGTATATTCATAAATTTTCATATTGTCACCAACACATGTGGTTGACCATGTGCATATTTCACCACACACTAGTTCTAACTCTCAAAAATTTTCTATCAAAAAAACTGTAAACTTTCATTTTCCACTTACCATAATTCTCCCCGTATAAGGGCACACCAGGTGGCTTCTCAGCCTAGTTGGGTGCTCCATGCCTTTCTGGAAACCCCACGAATGGCACAAAGGATCGCAACACGGACAAGTCGAATTTGCATTGCTCAAACATGTCGGGCTCGCTAACGCGAAGACCCCCGCCTGAAAAAGAATTCCAAAAACTCACTCACCTGAGCTCAGGGCGTAAACTACTGAGAACCCTATATATAACGATTAAACTATTTTTCAGTACTAACTTCGGTATTGATATATTTCCATTGAAGTTTCACGACCCGTTTTACGTCAAGTGGCGTATGTTGATGATACGCATTAGTCGTGAAACATATATTTTCACGAGTGTTTTCATATCACTAGGGTCAAGAAGCTCCATTGATGAGAAATGTGTACCCCGAAAACAAAAGAATTCGTTTTTTTCATTTCTCTCACTGATACTACGTATTTTAATGTGCATTTCTGAACGAAACACTAGTAGAGATTACACAATTCCAAGTTATCACCATCACAGAAAGAACGCCAAGTGCTTCAGAATAGGCTATTCGCACGCTCTGAGGAGCTACTAGGATTAGACCCTTTTCCCTATTGTATATACAGTTACCATTATATCGTGGCAAATCGATCAAGCTGATCGAAAGTATGTTTGTGATTAAATTAACCATCACCATCACGCTCACAGAAAATTTTGAGTACACTCTACAGTGACCCGAAATCGAATGACCATTCCTACCCTCACAAGAAGCTCCAGCATAGAGCTGTTTTCTGCCACGGCTGGATCATCGTTGTAATACACAAATCGTGTATAGATATCAAGTTGCTCAAGAACTGCGGTAAGTCTGATATGAGAAATACTCACACGTAAAACCAAACGTAACAACGCTTATAATCAGCGTTAACAAACTCATATGTGAAAACAAACATAACAATTCTTATATTCAACGTTAACAAATTCACATGTGAAAACTGAATGTCACTTAACGACATGGAAAAACAAATGACAAACCAAATCGATGAAAACTGGTCGTATCGTATTTCGCAACTCCATTTTAAAAATTCGAGTTGACTTTTTCCAAATTTTCAGCAATTTTCATTTTTTATGAGTAATTTATGAAAAAAACAACTGATTGAAATTTTTTACGATTTTCATTCTTGTATAATTCGTATATAACACAAATATACATATATTATTTACTTTTATCACACGAGGAAAATCAGTGAGCACCACGAGACTTTTCTGGCGAGAGCCGTTGATCCCAACATTATTGCCATTCTAACCGCTATCAATGGAGTTTCACCCTAGTGATGTGAAAAACACATTTCACATTTCACTTCGCGTGAACCGGGTGAAACTCCAATTACATATAAATGTCATGTTCTAACCTACCTCGCGTTCGCCGTCGACGAGCTCTGTATGCACCAGAACGATCCTTTGTCATCACCAACAAGATGCTCATGTTTTCCACGAATTCCACAGCTAATGATGCGACAAGCAAACTCTATATACGGACCTGAAACCGTAGTATCGCTTAACGCTGATTCTGAACCGCTCAAACAGAGTGTGATAAAAAGTATATGCATATGGTCAACTACATGTGATGTTTGTTCCGACCAGTCAACCCCACTTGAAACGAAGTGAACTGTGTTAAATGTGGTTGTCCTATGACGTGATGTGTCTCTGGAACTCGACATAAGGAGAGAGAAGGCAAGGGGAACCACCATATAGGTAATGAGGTGCACGCATACACATGTGGTGTCCTCAGGGTTAGCTGTTGGCAACAGCCTGTTGTCTCGACTAGTCGTATATTTGGTGTTTTGTGAATGATTCACTACCAAGTCCTGAGTGGTATACACTAGTGACTTGGCTTAACTTGTACACCACCGTGACGTACTACCCTAGTACTACTACGACTAGACGAGGGCCCCATAGCGATACAATCACTTTTAATCAAGGCATGGAAGCTTAACTAGATCTACCCATTGCCGCTATCGTACATAAACAATAGTAGTACTATTGTTTATGTACTATTATAGTATCGCTCGTTCAAGATATCACGCCTATAAGCTGTGACACGCATCAATGTGTTAGTAAAAATAATATAGAAACGACGAGGAAATTTTCGTAGTTTTTGTACAATTTTTTCCGTGAATTTTCATAAATTTTCGTAAAACTGTAAAATTTTCACCATTAGTGTAACGAGGAAA